GTTTTTTGAAACAACCCGGCGGTTGCCTGTCGGAACCGAGCACTTGCGCTTCTGGGACGCTGAAGATGAAGCGCTGCCGCGTGCGGCGCGACAGGCCACGGTCATATTCAGACTTGACACTGCAGATTCCACACTTCACTCTTTACATTTTCCACTTGTCACTTTGCACTTTACACTTTACACTCCACACTCTACACTTTACACTTTACATTCCACACTTTACACTTTACAGTTCACGGTCCGAATCTATGCTTTACGCTTTACGCTCCACACTCTACACTTTACACTCCACACTTTAGACGTGACACTTTACATTCCACACTTTACATTTTACACTCCACGTTCATATATTTAGTCTAAGTTTCAGGGTAATATACACATGTCCACACTATACTTGCACCTGCCCCTGCTGCAGGTTGCGTCTGTGACACGCACGGATCGAACCTGGCCTTCTCCGTGGACGATGACGAAGGGCGTGTTGCACCAAGGGGTTTGGTATGAGATGGGGAAAGACAGTCGAGTGATCGGTTTGGAAGATGCTACGTGGCAAAACAAACCTCAGGATGAGACTACGCCTGGACGAGCTACTTTGAAGAGACATTGCTCCCAGGCAGTTTCGGCGGTCACTGTGCCTCCAGCTGCACCGACAGGAGCAGACCCAGGCGGCTGTCCCCGGGTCTGCCACGTTGGCATTTGCACCGAATGGGGCACCGCCTCCATCCTCCTTCGCTGACCAGGTACAAGCCTTGCCAGCGGTCGCACCGCCCACGGCATCTGTCACTGAGCGGGTGCATACCTTGAACCTGAAGACCGGATGCTGCTACATCCGCACCACTGGCACGCTCTACACTTACGAGCCCAATGCCGATTTGCGGATCGACTTGACCAAGGGAGCCACGACCTTGCGAACTTCGACCCGGGGAACAGATCGGAATGACGACAGAGATGGTCGAGATGAAGTTTTGCAAGAGCAGCTGGTGAGCTTGCAGTGTTACCAAAGCTTGCTCCGTCAGGCAGAACAACTCATCAAGGGAGAAGTCCGACAAGGCAAGACAATCAGAGTGGGTGTGGCGAGCACTTTGGGAAGGCACCGCAGCATCGCCTTCGCGGAGATCTTGCGGCAGCGGCTCGACCAATGCACCCACGTGGAGCTTTGCCACCTGGAGGAGTTTCGCTGGAAGAACATCGCTGCTCACCGCAGAGGAAACGTGCTCAGCATCACACCAGACAGCTGATGCTTTTCTTTTTGTACAGAGCGACAACTGGCGGCGCTGTCCCCGTTGTCTTGGTGAGACGCCGGATGGACTGGTTACAGCAGTCTGCGGTGCTATAAAGACAGCTATTGTCTTCGGATACATGTTTTCAAAGTATCTGCAGCTACACCTGTGCAATCTCATCGTTTGACACGTGGGTAACTTTTTTGATGTAAGTTTCAGTTTTGTAAGCCATTCCCTATCCCTTTTGCTACATAGGCGGCTGCCTGCCTCGCTCCTAAGCATTGCGATGACAGCGCGGAGACGCGGCATGTCGAAGCTGGAAAAACAGACCGTTATTCAGAGCAGCGTCTGCTTTTTCCCGAATGATGTAGAAAAGGTTCCCGTTATACTCCACACTTTACACCCCAGACTTTACACTTTACACTTCACATTTTATACTCCACACTTTGCAGTGTATATACACTCTGCGCTCTACACTTTACACTCTACACTTTACACTATACACTTCACATTCCACACTTTACACTCCCCACTCTACACTCTAAACTCCACACTCCACACTTTACACTCCACACTCTGCACTTTATACTCCACAGTTTACACTTTACACTCTACGCTCCACACTCCACACTCCACACTTAGCACGCCACCTTCTTGCATATTCCACAGTCTACGGTGCACTGGTATGGTAACAGTGGAAAAATGTACAATACTGTTCAAACAAACTGTTTCAGAAAAGTGTTCTGCGTGACTGCATATCCATGTGTTTCGACATCTGTACCATTAATATACGTGTCAGCATTCGGGTTCGTGGGCTGCATCTTTTTAATTCAAACAACATGATTCAACATGGTCACACTGCACTCAAACACAGTGCATCTTCCAAATGACGGTATGTGTTGAAAGAGCCCCCATGCACTCTAAGATGCTCCATGATGCTCTATGTTGTAAAACAGGGAAAGGGTTTGTTTCTATCAAGGCGGAGGGAAGAAAGACTGCCTCGCAAATGACCAACTAAAACAAAATGGGGATGGGTGGAATCCCACCTCGGCTGGTGTGCTCGGGTACCATTCTGCTGCCCAATTAGCGTATTCCAGCCTTGGTCACCAGAGACACTGGTGGATACTTTTGGATATCTGGTACGTAATGTGAACTGAACTGAACGGCCCTTCGTGCTCGTTGTGGGTTCAGCATGCTCGACTTCTCGTCCATGATTCTAGAAACTTTGGTATCGGTATCAGCTGAATGCTTGCTGATAAGTTCGGTTTCAGACTTATGATAGCTCTAATAATTTTCACAAGCAATGCAACAGTGGCTTGCAGTAGCCATAGCATCACACATCACCGGGGTCCCTGCCATAGAGCCACAACCTGCAAAACTGGTTGTTGTTGAGCTAATGTCGCTGCTGCTTTCAATTTCGAAGGCGGTGCAATCAGTTTGAATGTCTTAGAGTCTTATTGGGCTCAAATTCATTCAAATTCAGTGCCTTTGATCTACTTGCATTTGATATGCTCAGGTGCAATTTCCCCACGTGGACACACCAAAGTGCAGTAAGTTGCAACTGCAAATGCCTTCTCGTTTCCACTCCCAGGATGCAGCCTTGGAATGTCATTTACGTGAAGACAGGGAGTCCAGCAAGCTGCAAAGCGACAAGAGTTTCCCTACGTTATTAAAAGCGAAACTGTTCAACAACAACAAAAACAACAACAACAACAACAACAACCACAACCACAACCACAACCAACAACCAACAACCAACAACCAACAACCAACACCGCAACCAACAACCAACAACCAACAACCAACAACAACAACAACACCAACAACCACAACCACAACAACAACAACGACAACAACCACAACAACAACAACAACCACAACCACAACAACAACAACGACAACAACGACAACAACAACAACAACATCAACAACAACAACAGCAACAACAACCACAACCACAACCACAACCTCGTCCTCAACCTCAACCTCAACCCTCAACCTACAACCACAACCACAACCACAACCAACAACCAACAACCAACAACCAACAACCAACAACCAACACCGCAACCAACAACCAACAACCAACAACCAACAACCAACAACCAACAACCAACAACCAACAACCAACAACCAACAATCAACACAACCAACAAAAACAAACACAAAAACAAAAACAACAACAACAACAACAGCAACAACAGCAACAGCAACAGCAACAACAACGACAACGACAACGACAACGACAACGACAACGACAACGGCAACGGCAACGGCAACGGCAACAACAACAACAACAACGGCGACAACAACAACGACAACACCAACAACACCAACAACAACAACCACAACAGCAACCACAACCACAACCACAACCAACAACCAACAACCAAGAAGCAACAAGCAACAAACAACAACAAACAACAACAAACAACAACGAACGACGAACGAACGACGAACAACTACGAACGACGAACAACGAACAACGGACAACGAACAACGGACAACGAACAACGAACAAGGAACAACGAACAAGGAACAACGAACAACGGACAACAACAACGAACAACGAACAACGAACAAACGAACAAGGAACAACGAACAAGGAACAACGAACAACGAACAACGGACAACAACAACGAACAACGAACAACGAACAACGAACAGCGGACAACGAGCAACGGACAACAACAACGAACAACGAACAACGAACAACGAACAACGAACAACGAACAACAACAACAACAACAACACCAACAGCAACGACAACGACAACGACAACGACAACGACAACAACACCGACAACCACAACCACAACAACCACAACAACCACAACAACCACAACAACCACAACAACCACAACAACCACAACAACCACAACAACCACAACAACCACAACCACAACAACCACAACACCACAACAACCACAACAACCACAACAACCACAACAACCACAACAACCACAACAACCACAACAACCACAACAACCACAACAACCACAACCCACAACCCACAACCAACAACAAACCACAAACAACAAACAACCAACAACCAGCAACCAACAACGACAACGACGGCAACAGCAACAGCAACAACAACAACAGCAACAACAACAACAACAACACCAAAACCTACACCAAAAACCAACATCAAAGACCAAAACCAAAACCAACACTAACACCAAAACCAACACCAAAACCAAAACCACAGCCAACACCAACACCAAAACCAACACCAAAACCAACACCAAAACCAACACCAAAACCACAGCCAACACCAACACCAACACCAAAACCACCACCACCAACAACAACAGCAACAGCAACAGCAACAGCAGGAGCAGCAGCAGTAGCAGTAGCAGCAGCACCACCACCACCAACAACAACAGCAACAACAACAACAGCAACAACAACAACAACAACCACAACCACAACCACAACGACAACAACAACAACATCATCAACATCAATATCAATATCAACATCAACAACAACACCAACACCAACCGCAAACGCAACCACAAACACAAAGACGAATTTGCTGAGCTGATCCTCAAAGCACTGAAGCCCACACCTTTCATATCCTTTCTCGCTTTCTTTGTTCCTTCTTTGACTCTGTAAACACGCAAGTCCCTGATTCGTGAAGACTGAACCAGTGTTCCTGAAGCCAGAGACCACAATTGTCTTTGCTGCCCATCCCACAATTTGACCCGATGTGCGGTTTCATCCGTGCATATTGCACCCGGACAACACCTGTTAGGATCTATCGCGCGCTTGGACCAAATCAACTACCTTCTTCCCACAAAGACTGTGTGCTGGCAGGTTGCTCTGCATCATCTGAGAGTTCCACTAAACGTGCCTGCAGCGCAAAAATGTTCTGTCACCACCCCTTCCTTGTCCGTTCCTTGGTGCAATGATATCTTTAACCTCGTTACGTTTAAGACATGATTGGATGGCCGCCTAATTGCGGTGTTTCGCGGGGTTCTTTACGGTTAGTTGCTCTTTCCACAGTTTGTGCAATCCCATCTCTATCATCTCTCCTGAGGAGCGATCTTGTGCGAGAGGATGGTGACACTTTGACAGTGTTCCCTTTTGAGACACACACACATAAAAGAGAAAAACACTCATGGGACCTTGTGGGAACAAACGCGCTGCTACACGCATTAACACCTGGATCTTGGAAACTGTTCAAGGTTGGGCCCAACATGGAAGTACAGTTTTCCTCATCATCACATGCTCTGCCGTGCCACATTAACTTCCACATTGAGGCCACGTTGGGAAACTTGCTCCCGCTGCAACTGGCACCTCGAACTCTTGTCGGGCCTCTTGCCTCAGCTGTGAAGGTGGAATGATGCTGGACAAATCCAGCACACTGCTAGTTGGAGAAAGTTGGAGAACTGGTCCTACTGACGTAGCGAATTGCAACATCCTGCAACTACATCATACCAAATGAGCCATGTTCTAAATGTCTTGTATCCCGGCACCAAAAAAGAAAATTGCTTACTTCGGTGCTTGCGTTTTGCTTGCTTGCGCACACAGGTTTTGCCTCTGCGGATATCTTGTCTTACGCTGAGCTTACGCTGGCTTGCGCTCACCAGAGTTTTGCTTACGCCACACCCTTACAAGGGGCTCCTTCCTAAACATGAACGCAAGGGTTTAGAACGCGGCTCAAATGTATCTAAAGTTTTTTCAGAAAGGAATGCATGCGGATCTTGACTTGAGTTGCAGCCAATCATTGAAATCACAAATCACCTGAAGTTGACAAGAGACAAACCGAAAGAATGACAGCTGAAATTGGCACTTCAAAAGCGAGTGGCTAAGACGCTACTCTGAATTTCAGCATGGTGCCAACGCTATCAGCAGCTATGAATCCAGCGGCATAGTCGCTATAGTTTAGGGTAGACTGCACCGACTCGATTTCTTGTGTATCACTGCATCTGATCTTCCCTTCAGCATGACATTGGCACAAGAATTGGTACAAGTATTTCTCAATCACACTGGCCACCAAGCACAGTCTGCCATTTCCGCAAATCAACCAAATCACGCAACCCTGGGCCATTTCAATGTGCTGCTGCTGCCGTTTCTACAACGTTTGTGTCTGACTGTAAGTAGCCGTGGCGACCTGTGATCGGCCAGTTCTTTGGGATCGCTGCCATAGACCTGGCAATCTGACCAAGCGCACGAGAATTGAGTTGCCTTCCATCGTCTTCCCACATCTGGCTGTCGTTAAAATTCAACAAGACAACCTAGTCAGAACGAATCTATATAGTCAGACTAGCCCTCAGGCCAGAAAGTTTCGAACCAATGGGAACAACGCGTCCTTGTTTGTAGATTAACGGCAACTCACGTGCAAGATCAAGTGCCGTTTTTGGCGTCTTGTTTAGTGCTGTCTTGACAACCCACTCATCCTTTTATTGCAGCTGCGAAGTACAGATAGTCTTCAAACATGTCTAAACTGCAAGTGGAACCTGACAAACCTGGCAGCTTACCTCACATGGCATGGCCCTGCTTCAAGGAACGGGTGACCCATGGTGATCGGCAGGTGCCAACAATCCGGTCTCGACTTGGTCTCGCCTCTTGCAAAGCCCTGGCACTGCGGCCTGTGCGCTTTGGCCGCAGATTCTCCTTATCCTGCAATCAAACACTATCAAGCACTATCAAGCACTGCGGCATGCTGTGGCACTGCCAAAGACAGAAACTGAATAAACTAGTTCCGCTGATTCTGATGGCAGAGAGCAAGTTTGACAGTACCAGTATGAACGCAAAGTCATAGGGTGAAGAGCTTTATTTGTGCTGGTTCTGATTGTCGACCTTCGACAGCCTGTCAAGTCATAGCCTGCTCAAAGAGGACCAGCTCTGTGACTTCAGACTCCACTCTGGTCACCTGCCATCACACTGAGCCGAAACCAAAAGGCCTGCCCCTGTTTCTTCTAGCGGAACTTATGCTTATGAAATCTTATGAATATTTCCATACACCTTGTTGAGATTCTAGATTCAAACCATCAATCCTAACTTTACCATATCCTTGCAGCTATTCCATCTTTCTTGAAGATTGGATATTGACTTGATAGAAATCACTCTGGCCTTGCCTCCATGGTGGCCAATGCGCCCTCTTGACGCTGAACCAAAACAGGACTGCAGAAAACAACGTGCTCAAAGTTTACTTGACCCCTCAGCATCTCAAGGCTTACAGGTTGAAAACGTAAATTTTATTGGTGTCTGCACCTACAAGTTTTGCTCCTGCCATCTCTCATCTGTGTAAGAAAAGACAAGAGGTACAATAG